TATGCATGGGTACATAGTTATTAACAAGGTTTAACTGATTTCCCTTAACACGCCCAATATTCTTTGCACACACTTACTGAACTATTCTGACTGGCAATGGCTAATATCATCCCTCTGTGCTTTCAGGCAAAAGATGAGGCAGTTGCAAACAATGAGGAAAGATAATGACCATATTTCATTCCTGGGTTAGGTCCTTTCTTTTTATTCTTTCCCTCCCTTCCCCTCCTCTCCCCTCCCCTTCTCTTCCTTTTGCTTTTTCTCTCTCTCCATCCCTCCATCCCTCCCTCTTTCTTGTTTTCTTTATTCCAGAGAGTTCACATCTACTGGTTAATTCCCCCAATACCTACAATGATTGAGAAGTGAGGCTCTGTCTAAAACCTAAAGGCTAACGAACATTGGTGTCCCTGAAGGTACAGCAAGGGCAAGATTCTACATAAATGAATCAGAGAGCACCTGCCAGATATTTTGGCGCTTGGAATTATGTATCAGAGTTTGTGGGGAGAGGAAAGAGAAAGGGGTGCAGAGGAGACCTCATACTGTCCCTCATAGAAGAACCCCTGTTCCTCGCCTAGCCATTATGCCTCTGGTTCTCCAAGTACATCTGGGGATACTCTGTGGGACTGCTGCACAGCTCTATGTGGCTAGCTGAGGTCCTGCACATCTGGGTTTGTCTTAACTCAGGGTGACATAACAAAATGACATGGCCTGGGTGGCTTACACAGCAGTGATTAATTTCTTGCAATTCTGGAGGCTGGGAAGTTCAAGGTCATAGTGCCAGTAGGCTGAGCTCCAAGTGGGGGCTGGCTTCCTGGCTCGCAGATGACCACTGCCTCATTGTGTCTTCCTGTGGTGGAGAGAATGAGCTCTCTGCTGTCTCTTCTTATAAAGACACCAATCCTCTTAGACCAGAAGGGCCTTGCCTTGCGACCTCATTGAATTTTAATTATTTCCTGAGGATACTTTTTCCAAGCCAAGTCACCTTGGGAGGCAGTGCCTCAACCTAAGAGTTCTTGGGGAGGGGGCCTGCAATCCCTAGAGCACATCTGGAATGCATCCTTTGCGAAAGACAGTAAACAGAACTAACAGGCTCGGGACAAATCCTTTAGTGTGTGTCACCTGCCGTGGCCCAGGTGTAGCTGTGCCCTTTGTGTGCTGATGGGGCAGAGCCAAGTCTGATGTAATCCTGTGACACAAACAATAGGAACCAACCATAGCTCAGCTTGCAGATTTACATGGGACAGCCATTTTTCTAAGAGGTTGTTTTAGCAATGTATTGCATTTTACTTGTCTTGTTAAATAGTAGGTCATAGGATGAAAAAGTTGGTAAAAAATAGAGTTTACATGACCCAAAAGGAAGGATTGATGTCTCCAGTCTAAAAATCTCCCTCCCTGAGTGGTTGGGCATTTAGCTTAGTGGTTAAGATGCTGGTTAAGACACCTGTATGCCATAAGAGTGCCTGGGCTTAGATCTCAGCTTTAGCTCCTTCCTGGCTCTAGCTTCCTGCCAGTGCAAACCCAGGAAGGCAGCAGTGATGTTTCAAGTGACTGGAGTCTTACCATCCAGGTGGGAGATGTGGGTTAAATTCCTGGCTTCTGGCTTTGGTCTGGTCCAATTGCAACCACTTTAGGCATTTAAGGAGTAAGCCACTAAATGGCAGATCTCTCAGACACAGAGATGTGTCTGTATCTCTCTCTTTGCATCTCAAATAAATAAAAATATATACTTTTAAAAATAAAAAATAAGTGGCCTCTACTATGATATAATGGGTTAAACTAATACTTTGATGCCAGCATGACACACTGGGGAATTGGTTCAAGGGTGGCTGCTTCACTTTTGATCTCGCTCCCCGCCAGTGTGCCTAGGAAAGCAGCAGCAGATGGTCGAAGAGCTTAGGCCTCTGCTGCTCACAGTGGGAGACCTGGATTGAGATCTGGGCTTCTGGGTCTCTTTGTTCTGAGCCTGGGCCATATATGGCTGTAGTAACCATTTGGGGAATAAGCATGTGGACGAAAGATCTCTCTTCTGTCTCTTTCTTTTCTGCCACTCTGTCTTTCAAATAACTAATCTTTCTTTTTTTTTAAAAAAGTACTCTATTAAAAGAATTTTGTTTTTAAAAAAGTGAAAAGTTCCCTGGAGCTGGGGGTGAGCATGGGAGAGGGGTAGGAAAGAGGGAGGAGGCAGGGGATTACTTAGGATTCTCAGAGTCTGTAGTGCAGACTGTTATCTTTAATGTCTTGAAACTGTTTGCCTTGGTGAGATTTTTTTAAAAAAAATAATGGCTCGAGGGCTCATGTGTCCCACTGTTAAGTCCCAGGGAAAGATGTGTTTTCATGCAGACCCTGATACAAGGTCCAAACTCAGCCCAGTCTGAGATTAACTCTGTCCTTTACCTCACACCAGTCCTAAGAGATGAACAGATCACTTCGCTCCTCTGATCTCTGTTTTTTTGTCTCTGTCTGAAGATAAAACATCCATCCTACGGAATTGCTGCAGAGATTCAGTGAATGAGTGTCCATTAAGCACTCATATTGCTATTCTCATTGGCTAAACATGCTGTGGAACCAGTGTCTCCTTGTTGTGGCTTGTGCTGTTTCCCTTCCTCCTCTCTCCGACCCTTCCCTCCTCTCCCCTCCCTTCCCTTTCCTTTCAGTCTCTTTCCTTCCCTCAACACACACACACACACACACACACACACACACACACACACACACACACACACACACACTCACGAAAAAGAGAGAGAAACTTCCATCTGCTGGTTTCTTCAGTTCGTGCCCCCAACTGCTGGGATTGGAAGCTCAATCTAGATGTGCATTATCAGTACAGTGGAATCAGGAGTGGAGCTGGGACGTAAATTCAGTCATGACTGACACCACCCTCAGCACCTTAACTGCTAAGTCAAACACTTCCTCCCCTATGTTACTTTTAATAACGGTGTATTTCTCCCGTATCAAATCTTACAAGGAGCTCCTGTAGTCTAAACTGATGGATAGGGAGTTGCGCTGGTTCCAGTAATATAGGAGCTGGACAGCCTTCCCTCCACTTTCCTTCCATGAAGCCAGGGGACCTACCAGAGACCCCCATGTAAGAGTCACTCGTCACTTAATATGTAGTCCCAGAGATGTTGTGGTTGATAACAGCAAGGTGCTGGCGTTCTGATATCTGCTTTCTGAGTAGCCTTCTCATTCTGGTCCTATTTCCTTGAGATGACTTTGGTGAGGGGTTTTGTGTTCGCAGACTCTGCAGGCACACTTGTAACATCCTTTGGCCACTGTTGCAGGTTTCATCATCTCAGTTGTGCACAGATTTTGCTGTGAGTTCATGTCATCACCTGTGACCTGGGATGCTGTTGGGTTGACCATACATGGCCAACCTGAGAATGAAATTTAATGTGTGTTTACTGCCCAATGAGATTATGATCATAAGCAAATCCCCACAACAACACCAGATGCTCTGTAGTATTATGTCATGGTTTCTGGTTTGTGAGATGGTACTAGTAAACATCATTATCATCTGCATGAAACACAGATCTTTCTGACCATCCTAGCCAGAGAGAATGAAGGGCCTGTGTTGGTGAACTTTTTGGCTCAGTTCCCTGTATTGTCATCAGCATCTAAAAGATAAGCTTCATATTTTTGCCTATAATGGTTTTATTGAGATATAATGTGCCTATCACATAATTCACTTATACAAAGTATGTAATTCAGTGGTTTTAGTATAGTCTCAGGGTTGCCAATCATCACCATAATCAATTTGAGAACATTTTCACCCTCTCCCAAAGGAAGTGCTGTATGTATTGGCAGACACTCCTCATTTCTACCCAGCTTCCCTCTGCCAGTCAGATATAACTGCTAATCTGCTTTCCATGTCTATGGTGTTACCTGGTCTGGACAGTTTGGAGAAATGGCATCATCCAACATGTGATCTTTTGTGTCTGGCTTCTTTCCCTCAGTGTCTTTTCAGGGTTCACCCAAGCATCAAGCAAGTCCTTTATTCCTGTTTGTGGTTGAATTAGATTACTTTGTAATTTATCCATCAGTCAATGGTCATGTAGGTGGTTGCCATTTTCTGACAGTTACAAATAACAGGACTGTGAATGTTTTGGTGCAAGTGTTTGGATGGAGATTTTCATTATTGTAACTTTTCCTATCAGGAAAATTAAGGCTGTCAGTACTAGATGGATTGAGTACCCACTGTGTACAAGACACTGGGTTGAGTACAGATGACTTTATGGAGGCCTCAGCAAGTGCCCAGGAGGGGGCTTTCTCCATTCCTTACAAGTGGGGAAACTGAGGTCTCAAAGTGATAGAGGTAGAGCTGAAGTTTGAAGCCAGGGTTCTGTGATGCCATAATTCTTACTTTGTTGGTGTTATTCCACTGTGGCCATCCATATTGATTAAGTCATGCTGATTAAATCTGTGTTATGGGTCATTTGCTTATATTATCTTCTTGATCCTCATTAAACATTACTGTTGCTGCTGTTGAGTGAGAAAGCCCTGTGGCTGCCCTGGTGACATGGCCTGTTGGTGTCAGGGCCTGGAGAACCAGCACTCAGCATTTCCGAAGCTGCTCCTTGATGCCATACTCAACTTCACAAATCCAGCCTTCTTTAACACCCTCATCTTGGAGAGAGTTCTTTACATGGATCAGAGCTCCCAGTTCCAAAGGATAGCCAGTCTCCCCTCTGTCTGTGTGTATCCAAGGGTATCAATATGCATGAGCTGAGGGACCTCACAGAGACATGACCCCTTGTGGCCTGCCAGGACACTCACAAGGCTCCTAAGGTATACTTCCACACCAAGATCCCCTGTCCTGGCTACACCAAATCTCTAGAGTGTGCAGAGAACCTGCTTCAAACGCTCATTCTGAAGATGGGGCTGGAGAGGGACTGGGAGAGCTACCTGGAAAAGGAAGGTGGCACTGGGGGAGGCTGGAGAAGAAGGAGGGCTGACAGTGGCAGGTGGGTACCAACTATCTCCATGTGGTTGCCTGCCCACAGCTGCTATCTTGGACGACCCCATGGAGTGCAGCCGAGGGGAGCGGCTGTCCATCACTCTGGCCAAGAACCGCATCAACCGCGCTCCTGAGAGACTGGGCAAGGCCAAGGTCGAAGTGGACATCTTTGAGCTGCTCAGAGACAGCGAGTACGAGACTGCAGAAACCAGTACGTAGAATGGGTGGTACCATCTCCTGCTTTCCTGGCTGGTAGTGGGCAACCTGGTGATATGAGCTGTATCCATTGTCAAGCCTGAGAGATAGTCCCGGGAGTAGGAGAGAAGGTAGACCAGGAGACCCTGAGAGGCTGTGTGCCTGGATGAAACTCTGATTTTGTTGTTGAGTCACAGATGGAGAAGAATAAAGGAAATGTGTTCATTGATTCATTGATCCACTCATTGGCTCCTTCCTTCCTGTATTGATCCATTCATTTCCTGGACATTTCTGTGCACAAATCCCTGAATGAAATCTTGTGTGAGGTGAAGAAAAAAGGGAGGGCTAGCCCAGGCTGACTTAGCCATCTTATAACTGACCGATTGTCTTGCTTTCTCATTCAGAGGACGGGTTGTAGGAATGACCCGGGACTTGGGATGGAGTTTAACCAATCACTGCAGCAACCTTGGGCAAGTCATTTATCCCATCAGATCCTCAGTTTCTTCAGTTGCAGAATGGGAGTGTTAGGTTATGCTTGGCAAAGCTCGCCAGTAGTTGATATGTGAATAACTGGAAGTATGGGACAATCCTCCAGGAGTAGTAGTATCCTACAGAAACACCTGTGAGGAGTTTTCAAAAAGAACATGCAAAACCATGTCATGAAAAAAACTCCATGGATTTCAAAAATGTTTGTACCAAAATAAACCAATCTTCTTCTATATGATAAGCATATGGAGTCCCTGTTGTGTGCTGTTCGTTGCCCTTCATTCTCACAGTAGCTTGAGAGTTGTTACTAGCTCCACTTTGGGAAAGAAGAACTGAGGCTCAAAGACTGAATACTTGGCCTGCTTAGTGGGTGAAAGTTTCATACAAGCCCAGAGACCATCAGCAACCATTCCCCTGCCTTCCCTTGGACTGCTGGCATTGCCTTGGCAACTTCAGTGGATTCGGCTCAGGTTAATGGGCTGGCAACTTCCCCGGGGGAGGGTCTCTTAGCGAAGGTAGTGAGCGATAGTATCTATTCCCTGAGACTTTGACCAGTGCCCCTCTGCTCTTGCTCTAACTCGTTTAGACCTTGAACAGTGCTCAGTGGCAAAAACAGAAGAATGGTTTGCTTGAGTGTTTATGCCAGGCAGCTGGTGTTCCATCTGAGCATCCAGGAATGTTAGAGATGTGAGAAAAGAAGCACTCTCACCCTGGCCCCAGCACTGGAGGTGGGATGTGGTAAGGAGCCAGCAGAATAAGGAGGCAGAAAAGCTTATGGCTCCAGGGACACACCTGAATCTCTCTGTGTTTCTGATTCTTTTCTAAAAGATTTATTCATTATTTATTTGAAAAGCTGAGTTAGAAGACGGAGAGGGATAAACAGAGAGAGAGTATTTACTGGTTCACACCCTATATGGCTGCAACAGCCAGAAGTGGACCAGACCAGAGCCAGGAGCTTCATTCAGGTCTTCCACATGGGTGCAGGAGCCCAAGCACTTGGGTCATCTTCGTTGGATCAAAATGAAGCAGCTGGGTTATAAATTGGCTCCCATAGGAGATATCAGCACTGCAGCTGGCAGCTTTATTGACTGTGCCACAATGCTGGTCCTTCTGTCTGATATTTAATGCTTGTAGAGTATTGGATTCAGGCTCTCTGCTGTGCTGGTTTGGTTTCCCAGTTCTATTCAGCATGCACCTGTCCTATAACAGCTACCCATGCCCAATTTACTCTATATCCAGTAACCTGTAGGGAGATGGCTTAGGATCCTGTGAGTTGGCTGATAAAACAGGACAGACCCAGTTTCTGCCCTAACACAGCTTAAAGTTTCTTCAGAGTGCATGCCAGCAGCAGTATCCTTCCTTTCCCACTTAGCCTTCCTGCCCAGGTAGCAGGATCCAATTGACTCAGCTGGTCTTGCTGTGTGGCCTAACTTACAGGTTGTAGGTGTTGGCCAGATTGCTTAGTAACTAACTCGGGCAGGGTGTCTGCTCCTGTCCCAATAGCTGTGATCAGGGGTGGTTCATACTATGCAAACCAGGGTGATTGAGACCAGCAGGATCTCTTGGCGCAGAGCCTTCTGGCGTGGGGTGGGGCATGGGGAACAAGGAGCCATCTAGTCATTCATTTAGCATCTAGTCAGTATGTATCTGATGAGTGCCTATTATGCTTTATTCTGGGCAGTGAGTACTTAGCACACACAGATGAAAATCCTAGTTGTTACAGAGATCAATGTCTGATGAAAGGAAAGAACAATTCAAGTCTTCCTGAACAAACTGGAAACAGCAAGAAAGATTTGTTGTGAACTTCCTAGCCCCATCTGGAGGCAGGGCTTCTTGGCCCACAGGGAGAGGGCTCAGACAAAGGTTCAGGTTGCTGAGTGCCTCTGTCGTGTGTGCTTTGACGAGCCAGCTCCTCCTTCCTATGTTAGGTGCTTGGGGCTGCCCTGGTAGAACCCAGAACACAAATCTGCCAGCCATACATGGCACCATTAGCAGATGCAAATTTCCTTTCCCAGTGACCCCTCTGCCTGGCTTAGTCAGACCTGCACATCTGGCTTACATCTGGAATATTAAGCTTGATGAATTAGGGGGATGGAGGAAATTGCTGTCTTTATTCCATGTTACGGACCTTGTGGCATCTTTTCTTGCCTTTCTTCTAGGCACCAAGTATTTTATTACTGAATGGCCCTCAGTTCATCTTTATATTTTAGTGTTGGAGACATGATTTACATTTGTTAAAAAAGAAGATCTTTGGATATTCCTATCCCAAAGGCCTTTCATCTGAAGTCAGAGTGCTCCCCCAACAAAAGCAGCTTTTAAACACCATCCTGGGCCTTCCATGATAGCCCAGTGGCTAAAGTCCTCACCTTGAATGTGCCGGGATGGGTATCACTGCCGCTTCTAATCCTGGCAGCCCTGCTTCCCATCCAGCTCCCTGCTTGTGGCCTGGGAAAGCAGGAGAAGATGACCCAAAGCCTTGGGATCTTGCATCCACTTGGGAGACCCGGGGGAGGCTCTGGTCTCCTGGCTTCAAATCAGCACAGCTCTGGCTGTTGTGACCACTTGGGGAATGAATCAGTGAATTGAAGATATTCCTCTCTTTCTTCCTCTGTATATCTGACTACAAATATAAATATAAATATAAATATAAATATAAATATAAATATAAATATAAATATAAATCCCAGTACTCTTAGAAAGATTCCAGCCCATTCTCTCCCTCTCTAAGTAAGGGGTTGGTGGGTGGTGGGTTGCTGCTGTTGGCTGAAGCAGGACCAGATGGCAGGATGGGCTCCAGGAAATGGAACTAGGAATAAGACAGGGACCCTGTGTGGAGTAGAGACAACAGCTCTGTGATTTCCACTTTGAGGACACTGTAGTATAAAGGAACTTTAAAAATTAATGAAAAGTGAAATTAAAAGATAAATTTATTATGGTATAAAAAACATAGATTATTTTGTTTTGTCTTAGATCCATTTATTTATTTGGAAATCAGAATTAGAGAATGTTCTATCTACTGGTTTGTTCCCCAGATGTCTCAACAGCCCAGGCTGGGCCAGGCTGAAGCCAGGAGCGAGGAGCTTTGTCTGTATCTTCCAAGTGAGTGCAGGTGTCCAACCACTTGGGTCATCTTCTTCTACTTTTTCAGGGAGCTGGAAAAGGAGCAACCAGGACACCAACCAACATTCATGTGGCATGTTGGCATTGAAGATGATGGCTTGATCCACCATACCACAATGCCAGTGCCTCAAAAAAGTTTTTAAATTTATGCATATGAGGGATCTTTAGAAAGTTCCAGACCTCTCGTGTGGGTGACAGGAACCCAGTGACTTTAGATACCTCCACTGTGTCTCAGGGTCTTCATTTGCAGGAAGGAAGCTGGAATCAACAGGCAGAGCTGGGAATCAAACCAGGTGTCCTTGTAAAGCATGAGCATCTTAACACTAGGCTAAACACCTACTCTCAATTGGTATTTATTTGTTGGAGAGAGGGGGAGTGCCTGTCTGCTCTATGAAGTCCCCAGGTGCTGGCAATGGCAGGGGATGAGTCAGGTGGAAGCCAGAAGCCAGGGACCCAATCCTGATCTCCCATGTGAGTGTCAGGGAACGACCTTCCTGAGCCATCACCTATTGTCTCCCAGAGTTGACTGCAGCTGGAGACTAGAGTCGGAACTGGAGCTGGAATCAAATGCAGACTCTCCTTTGTGGGATACAGGCATCTTAGTTCTTTGGCTAACCACCTGCTCCTCATCTCTAGGTAACCTATAATAGTGCATCCAATGCAAATGCTATATAATAGTTATACTTTATTGTATAAGGATTAACAAGAAAAAAAAAAGTCTGTGCATGTGTAGGACAGATGTGATTTTAAAGAAGATTTCTGATCTGCAGTTTGTACAATCTATGGAACCCATGGATATGGAGCACCAGCTGTGTTCAGCAAACAGCAGTCCTGGCTTTGTTGTTGGATTTCTCCTCTCACCCTCACGTTACAGTCAGGCAGCCTTCTTCCCCCAACCTCTCACATCATCTCCCTGTCTCCTGTGTTTTAAAGTTCAACCATCCCTACACTGGCAGCACCATCTCCCAGGTTCCTCTCAAATGACCTGTTTGCTGTCAACTCCCCTCCTAATTGGCTATCCCCCTTCCCTTCCCAGTTTTCTGGGCCTGATGCATCTGACAGCTTTGTGCTTTGGAGGCTGTGGTGCGCTGCCTCGTGCCAGTTACTGCTCAGTGTCAAATGCAGTGCCTGGGCTAGTCTCTGGTCTAGTGAGCCAGGGCTCACTTCCATCATTAATTAATAAATATGCAAGTGGCTCTGGGGCCCTAGACAACTCCCCCAAGCCGTGATCAACTCAAGAGTGATGGAGGACTCCCAGTTGATGATGTTCTTGGTTGCTAAGTGTCAAAGCTTGATTGAGATGGGGCTGATTATGGTCGACCAGGGTCTGGTTGTGCCTCATTTTCAGCAGTAGGTGGGTTTCAAATTGCTCTGTACACATCACACTTAATGAGTCCGGCTCGGGCCGAG